AAAATTATTACTCTCTTGAAATTGCATTATCTAAAACAGAAGCTATATATAAAATTGTATACAATGACAAAAAACCATTTACACAAAATATTCATGTGCATTCCATGAATGAATTTTATTTAGGTACATTATACAAGAATCTCATAAAATGATTCTATTTTCCTTAATATTTTATTTATAAATTCAAGTAGCTTTTATTTTTTCGAAAATTTACTAAAAATACCCAAGTAATATATTTGAAATTCTATATAACACGATTTATAAAGCTGACTATGTATGTAAAATATTCAATGAGAATACTATGTATGTATACGTATAAGAAACAATAAACGTTGCATATAGTTACTCTCTTGTCTCTTAGAATTAAATTTAAAAACCTTATCTGCTTCATATCATACATACCATTTTATTATTATATGATTCTATGTATTCTATGTATACGAGTATAGCAATTTTTTAGATATTTAATTTATCTATTTGGTGGAAAAAAAAGAATATAATATGAACATATCCTGGAAAATAAAAATTCCTTTTAATAGCAAAAGAAAAATAAAAGGAAGAAATAAAAAATAAAAACGACAAGAAACCTGAAAAAGCTGGTTAATTTGTTTTTATTATTTTTTTTCTCTTTCTTTTGTTTATACATCATTCTTTAATTTGTAGAAATTTATTAAAAGAAAAAAAAAAATAATAAATAAATTTTTTTTTATTTTTTCTTTTGTTTTTGTACTCATTTTACTCTCTTTTTTTTTGCAGAATTAAATTTAAGTTGAAGAGTTGAATTGAGTTCCTTTGAGAAGAAATTTAATTTTATCCTTATATAGAACGATTTCAGATGTTTTGTATTCATGAAAAACCAGTTAGAAAAAAAAAAAACAAAATAAAAAACGAACAAAAAATACATGAGTGTTTTACCATGTAGAAAAGAGAGCAGCAGAGAGAAATAAATTAAATGTTCAAGAGTGTTTAAAAGAGTGTTCATAAAGATTTATGGCCTTCTCTTATTGTTTTTTTTGTTTTTCTTGCTCAAAATTATTTGAGTTGAAAGAGAATGTGCTTTAAATGGATATGAGTATGAGAAAAGAATAATATAATAAAGCATTGTTGAAAGATAATATGGATTAGAAAAACAAAATTACAAAAAATAAAAAAAAATAATAATTAAAACTCGAAAGCAGTAAAGTTTGAATTAAAAAACAACAAAACGCAAATAATAAACAAAAAAAAATTAGTTGTTTTTATTCTTGTTTTATACTTTTACACTTCTTATATTAAAATGACAAGAAAACGGTGTTTTTTTTTGTTTTGTTTTTTGTTTAATATTAAAATGAAAAATTGTTAGTCATAAAAGTAGCACTGCATAAGCACTTGGTTGTAATACAATTTATTACAATGACAAGGTAAACCAGATTTTTTTTTTGTCTTCTTCTATAAATCACTCTATACGTACATAATACAACTATATATGGTTAATCTTAAAGATATAAAAGTGATTTTAAACGTGATATTACAAAGAAAAGAACAATATTTTGTTTTAATATGAAAATTAATTATAAAATAGAAAACAGTTAAGAAAAATAAGGTGCACTTGTAATATAATTTAGAGAGAAATTTTGAGAGAAATAACGCTTAATCTAAAACTGATCATATATACTTTCTCTTTCGGGTAATTTACTCTTTAAATTTTCATCTAATAAGTCTCAATATAAAATCATACGAAATTTTGCAAATTCATCTATGTGTATATTAAGCAAATGACTATATGTATATTGACATCTGTAAAGTATTCAAAAAGCTACACGTATTAGGATCCCCTTCGAACATTTTGAAATCATTTACAGAATGAAAAAAACTTAAAATGAATTTTGAACATTTGAAATTTTTAAACCTAACTTGTGCAATTATGATCATTTCAACATATCATATTGTACAAGTTAACATGAAGGAGTGAACTAAATCCTAACTTCTATTTCACATATATAGATACACCAGTGGTTAGTTAGTTAGTGAGAGAGGAGAGGCGGCACTCTCAACCTGACTACCGCTCAGCGCCAGGTCAGAAGGGCTATCGGCATCCCTTGACAACACACCTTTCCCCGCTCAGTCCATTGAAATCCGTTGTTTTGATCCGTTGAAAAAAGTTTAGCAGATCACATACAGCTGCTTCCGAAAGCTCCTCCAAGTCATCGAACCGATATCCTCTATAAATCATTTTCTTTTCCGCATCATAACAGGGCACTCGCACCGCAGATTGCGCATGTCGTCCACCATCCCGAAGTTATGGCATCGATGGGGAAATGCTCAGCCTACTAACCATCCTTCTTTCATCAACACTGTGTCGTCAAAACTAACCTGCTGCAACATTAAGATTCCCCCTTCTCAATATCAACAGTTTGCGTTTAAGTTGCAAGGCCCTTTTCATTGCACAGGTCTCCGCTCACCTTACCAAAGTCAGTTCTCCCTTCTTTTAGTTTCTTAATCTACAATGTTCTTCAATTCTACTAAGGGCAGAAACACCAACAAGCCCATGGTCGTCGCATAATGCGCTCAAGGACGTCTTTCACGGCTTTACCAACCCAGATGTGATAGTGCACGAAATTAGCGCTCCAGGAGTCACATAAATTCCTACGAATTAATGTATTTTCACATAAATTGTGACGAGTGATTACACGTAATTGTGATACACGAATAATTGTATATGAGTATTAGTATATAAAAATTACTAAACAAAGAAATATTTGTTATAATAAAAGAAATCCCGAAAGGACTTTTCAAGAAACTTTTCAACATTATTTATAATTTTAACTCTTAAGAATGCAATATAATATTAATGAGTATAGTGTTAATAGTGCGAACACGTGACATTTTTATAGTGCGATAGTGAAATGAAAGAAATTTATTTTAAAGTTATGAAAACTGTAGTTTTTTTTCTCTGTAATGCTATTAAATATAATGAAAGTTGCTCTTTGAAATTTCATCAGATCAAAATTTGAAAAAAATCAAAAGTTAATTAATTATAAAGTTAAAATATTTATGATCATAACTTTTATATTATGTATGTATAACAGTAAGGGATATAACAAAATTTGTGTTATACTTTCTGTATTTACACAGAGAAAAAATTATTAAAAATCATTTTCCAAAAATTTTTGATTGATTCTCATTTGAAGCCAAAATTTAGTAATTGTAAAGAAAATTATTAAAAGAAAAATTCAAGAAATATTCAAAAATATTTTAAAACACGTCTAAAATGGCGACAAACAAAAACTTATGCCAAATATTTAGATATTGGCTTCAATTTAATTACAAGATTTATTTTGTGCCAATTTTTATTTATCCTATAGAAGACAAATACGTCTATTCATATATATTATACATCTACATATATATATACATTTATTTTTAAATTAAATTATTAAAATTATATGTACATATATTATGTAAATACATACGGTGCCGTACATTAAAACGAAAACCGAAAAAATTTATTAAAAAAGAAATTTTTGGAAATGGAAGATTAATTATTAAAATGGATATTTTTTTTTTTTTTTGAAAAATTAGTTGGCTTAATAAAATAATTTATGGCAGAATAAACAGAGGTTGAGATTTGATTTATTCAATTTATTCAAGGTTAAAAGTTAATAATAATTAATTGATGATTATCTATGTATGTATGTATATTATCACCCAGAAAAATAAATTGTTATTTCGAGTATAAAGTTCTTAAACTCATTGAAAATATTATTTGTTGAGCCGGAGCCCATTTCCGAAACTGGACCAGGTAAAATGTGTGAGGTATTTAGAAGCGAAGTGGAGTAGAGAAAGTTCGAGCTGTGAGAGCGGATCCACGGCTTCTACAAGCAAAAGAATTTTTGGGCAATTAAAGTACGTATCGCTATGTTGCGATCATAAGGATGCCGAGAACTCATGTGAAAATTTCCATGGATTTCCCAACAAGATTTTGCAGGCTTCAGAAAACACATAGGTAAACAGGACTTAGGAATTGACAGATCTTGTAGATTTTGTGGGAATGAGCACATTCAGGATGAGCATAGCCAGACCACCATACACATTTACTGCTGAGTGTTCTTATGACCCATAAGAGGGACGGTTTTGGATGAACCTGGTGGGAATTCCTCCGGAAAAGTTTTTCATTGATATTGATGTGGTTTACTTGATTCACATTGTTATTGATTGTGGGTGCAATCGGGGGGATGGGACCACAATAGATCTCTTAGGTCGCGGTGCAACGTCGCCCCAATTTACTTTTCAAATTTAAATATTTTTTATGATCATTTCGCATCCAATAAATCGCTTAAAGTTAATGATTTTTTATTGATACGATTTCTCTACATATATAGCCAAGTATATTGTGTTTAAATACCAGGTCTTTAAAGCAGGAAGTCTCGGGTTCGAAATCTTTATATAAAAAACACTTATGCTTACGACGTCTTCCAGGCGAGCCACAATGTTTATGGAATTTTTAACCATAATAATTTAATTCTGTAACAAATCGTACCTAGGCTGAGCAGCTTTGACCAAAAATTGCAATGGAAGTCTGTTTTGCGAATGAGTAATTGATTTGATAACTGTCAAATTTACTTAGAAGTATAAAAATGGCAGAAATTCAAGAAATATTTTTCGTGCTTGAATTGAATTTCATTAAAAATAATTGCATTTGCTAACATTTGCTATTTAATGGGAAAAATTTTCTAATTATTAAAAAAAAAAAAAGAAATTTTATCATAGATCTTAACAAAATAAATGAAATTATTTTTTGGGTTCTTTTGTCCTTTTTTGGCATTTTAATTTTTTGCTTTTTAATTTCGTTTGTTTTTTTCGTACTCTAGAACAAAATTTTTGAAAATTCAATTTCTTCAACTTTCATTTTAATTCAATAAAATTTCATTATTCGGGTATTTTAATTTCAGTAAGAGCGATAAAAATTTTATTTATTAAATTGATTTTATTATTTTTTTTTTTTCTTTTCTCTTATATAGGAATTATTTACTGCGAAGACGTTTATCACGTGGACCCAATAAAATTGTTCTTTCAGCAAATGATTTTGTATTTCCAGTTGAAAATAGGAGGGTAAGTTTTATATTCTGTGTTATAAATATATAATGGTTATTTTCTCGATTTATTAGCAACTTTATATTAAATAAATTGCAGACACGTTCTAACAAAAATCAATAGAAAATTTTTATTTTAAAGAAAATCCGTGAATTTTAAAATGTTTAACAAGTTTAAATTTAAAGAAAAACTTTTCTCTGATTGTAGGACAATTTATTTTTCGAAATTACAAGGAAAAATTTAAAATCATCAATAATTTAATAAAAGTTGTGTAAAACTTGTAATTAAAATTTTTCAAAGGCAGCCGGACATTACGAATTGTTGATCGTGTATTTAAAAATCTCCCTGTTCCCAATGTGATTTTAAGACGTGAATTTTTAAACCAAATTTAAAATTAATTACAAAAATGTTCACATTAATTAAATAATTTTTTTTTCAAAATTAAAGATGAGCTTTCATAACATTTTTCAATTTAAATGCACAACATTACGAAAAATAATGAGGAAACTGTTGAAAAATTTTTCTTTCTAAAATTTAAAAAAATTACCACGTTTATACTTTTTAGAAAATATGTAGAAGCAAAAGTATCCTTTTACAGGATATGATCAGAATAATTAACAAAAATAGAAAATAGAAGGGTGTGTTGCGATAATGAAAAATAAGAAACAAATTCAATAAGGGGAAAGATACCAAATTTTAACCATTTTTGAATGGTTCAAGGATATTTTTTATGCGGTTTAGAAATTTATATTTTTTTTTTTCAAAATTTTAACTTCCTTAACGTGGTCAGCAAAATACTCACTCCAAGAACATTTAAAAATTTATCAGATCATCTGATAGTAGAGAAAGAGACTGACAGGCCCATAGACAAAAGAAAAAAGTCAAGTCGATAAATCAACACAGCCCTTGTTGAAAATACCGATTATTAAATTACTGTTAATTTTCGAAATATGAAAGTTTATTATGAAAACAATACCCTCCTTATAGAATGTAAAATGTTTCATACGAATATTCCTTTTTAGGTTGACGAAGGTATCGAAGCAATGTTATGCTGTTGGTTACAACAACTTCAAGAATTTGGTGGTCCAGAAGTTGATAAACCAGATTTATTAAAAGGTTCAATAGGTTCATTAAAAAATTTAGGTTTAGTACCAACAAGTGGTACTGGTACAGGAGGTCAAACTGGCAGTGGAACTGGTGGTACTGGTGGTGGTAAAACAACAAATTCTGGTAGTGGTAGTTTAGCACGTCATAATCCAACATTTATTGATATGAGAGCACGTTATAATGGTGATTTGGTACAATTAAAAGAAATACCAATGAATGGTTCTGTTGAATTAAAATCCAAAGCTATGGATTTACTTGTAATGGCACATGGTTTACGTCACGAAAATATAAATCCTTTAATAGGTAAGTTAAGAGAAAAATTTAATAGCTACCATTGATTTTATTCAAATAAGTTTTTTTTTTTTATTTTTGGATATCAAAAGTTAACAATTTTTTTTTTTTTTTTACCTCAATATTTATGAGATTAAAAAATGGAAAAATTTTTTTATAATGATTTGTAAATGAACGTATATACGAAAACGGAATAAAAAAATTTGTCAGCTTTTGTTACTCTCAAAATTTAAATGGAATTTTAGTATTCATCTGTGAAGGACTATAATATTGAATTTTCAATGATTTTTCCTTCTCTTTGAATTCTTTACCATAAAATATTGTTGTTGATTTTGGATTAAGTTAAAAATTATACTATAGTTTCCTTTTATGTTGCAATTCTTGTGTACCATGCAGGTTTATAGTTTATGCATTTCAAATGTTAAAAATCACTTGAATTATACAAAAATTGAAAATAAATTCAGCAATTTCCATTGAAAATTTTTTATGAGAAAATATTTTTCCATTTTTTGTTATACAATGAGTTTTATTTTTTTGTGTTAGATTCAGTTGCTTTTAATTTAATTTCGAACGGAATCATATTATAGTTACATTTGTATTAATAACCGGCACAATTATGGAGGAAAAAATTTAATGATTTCAAATTTATTTTCAATTAATTGTGCATTAATTTCATTGACTCCATATCGAAAATTTCGAAGAAGAATAATTTCGCAAAAAATTTAAATTATAAAAATTGTCATAAGAAATTTAATGGTATTAACTAATAACTAATTTGAATTAAAATATTATGGAATAACCGAGGGAAAAATACACTGAAATACTCGCAATAAAAATCTATTACAATCAACCTATTACGGTGCGCCAACTAGGATCTTACCAATACAACACATGACTGGAATTCCTTAATATTTTTCGAATAAGAATCAAGCATTCCTGCAGCATTCGATAATCAATTTTCTCTTCGCAGCCTTATTCAAAATTTATAAGGGTCATCATTTTCAAAGTCCCAATTTCCTAAGAACGTTTCTTAAATTAAAAACAGATGTATTAATCTATTATCTTAAGCATTTTTAAAGCTTCCAAATAATAATTGCAAATCAAATCGTTGGCCATACCTTTATAGGTTTTTGCTCTTCCGACTTATTTATGTGCCTGTTAAGCACAAATGCTATATACATAGGTACTTATAAAAAAATTTTTTACACTTTCAAATATTATTGACTGCAAACAGTCTAGATTTACTTAAATATATGAGTATTTTACAATACAAAACGTAAACGTATGTTTTATGTGCATAATATTATATTATAAGAGAGGGCAAGGATATTATACGAAAATTCTTAATAATTCTTAATCATTTTACTCTACGTTATAAAATAATTCTTTTTGGTTTTGGCAACATTTCTAAACATTAAAATTATATTATTATGAAAATTATTTTTTTTTATGTTATTATTCATATTTTACTTTAATTATTGTTATGCACATATGTTTTGCTTAATGGACTTTATAATAAAATTTTTAATACTAAGTAATAAATTCGAATATTATTTCAAGTATAAATTCCAAAAAACATAAGTTATTAAATGCTTTTATAAATCTCGGAAAAATTTGTTATACGAACCTATAGTCAACAATAATTAGTAAAGCAAATATTAAAATTGATTTTTATTCTCTTAAGACCGGTTTGATTTGGCCTTATTCTAACACTATTTAAATATTTTTGCTTTTCTTCAGGAAATCGTAGAACGTATTATGAATGTAAAGCTCATTTTAATGTAAAGAAAATTCCTCTGTGATGCTCTCAATAAATTTCTCTTTTGTTTCTCAAACACTTAAATTCTCTTTTGTTAAAATTGTTATGGGAATTCAGTTCAAATACTGTTTCAAAGCTCTCTCTCTTTCCGTCAATGTAGTGAGCATTACGTAATTCATACAATTGATCGCGATGTGATGTTTTGTAGAGAGTGGTTTGACGTTTTTGAAACGCATATTTTATTCTTAATTTTTTTCCTGTAAATTTTCAAGGAAATTAGTTTTGACAAAATTTGTATGAACGCACAAAATTCTTAGATTTTCTCAATAACTAAAAGAGAAGAACGGAGAGTGAATATTAAAAGCTTTAGTTGTACATTTTGTAAACCATCCTAGGTGAAACATAAAATTTAATGGTTTGTTAATTTTTTGACAAGAATACAAGCATTGCAGATTAATATTTTCATAAATATATTTTTATTACTTGTAAGATGCTATAAATTTACCATAAAAAAAAATATTTTATTACTAAATTAAAATACGAAAAATGCCATCGTTTACAAAATTTTGGTAAATCGCAAATATTTGTTATAAAATAATAACTTTATTTTCTCCAATATGGAATGGTCAATAAAATCTTAATACAAAGGAATTCTCCGATAAGATTAAAATATAATGATAAAAAAATTTATTTAAATATTGTTCTCTTCCATATCTTTCTAACACACCACTTAATTATTTTTATTAAACACATTCAATTTACTTTAGATTTTTTTATATTATAGGTTTAGTAATTAAAATATCTATATTAATATTATAATTCTTTATATTTGTATATATAGGTTGGTTAAGTGATCCATCTCGTACAGCAATGGTATTTGATTTTTGTTCACGTGGTTCATTACAAGATGTTTTAATTATGGATGAAATAAAATTAGATTGGTCATTTCGTTTAAGTTTATTAACTGATTTAGTTCGTGGTATGCGTTATTTACATTCAACACCGATACGTGTTCATGGTAGTTTAACATCACGTAATTGTGTTGTTGATGCACGTTGGGTATTAAAAATAACTGATTATGGTTTAGCAACATTTTATGAAGCACAAGGATTACCACCACAACATAAAAGTGCTAAAGAATTATTATGGACAGCACCAGAATTATTACGTAATACAAAAGGTCATAATAAATGTGGTACACAAATGGGTGATGTTTATTCATTTGGTATTATTATGCAAGAAGTTGTTGTACGTGGTGAACCATATTGTATGCTATCATTATCACCAGAAGAAATTATAACAAAAATAAAGAAACCCCCACCATTAATTAGACCATCGGTATCAAAAGGTGCAGCACCACCCGAAGCAATTAATATTATGAGACAATGTTGGGCTGAACAACCAGATATGAGACCGGATTTTATATCGTAAGTTAATAATGTTAAAGAAAAACGCTCAACTTAGACATTTTTTTCTATATTTTCAATTTATTTGAAATAAAAATCTTAAATGAATAAAGTTAGAACATGAATCTCATTCTCTAAACAATAACAATAAAATAGAAAAGGAAAGCAGAAGAAATAAATTTCGTCTTTACCAGTTTCTAATAAAATATAGAAAAAAGAAATAAAAAAAAATTAAATATTAAATCCTTTTTCTCCAGATTTGTTTAATTTCAAATAGAGAAAAACGTGCTTCAAAAATCTGTGACTGAATAGGATCGTGATAAGATAATCAAGAAATTTCCTAGTTCGTTATATTCCAATTTATATTACAAAACTTATACCCTTCAGCTCCATCATATTCTACGTAATGTATATACAGGATATATTAAAACTGTAGACCTATTACAGTTCCTTATAAGTCTATATAATTGGAAAAGAAGTCCATTAAAATTGTGTTAACTAAATTGTTGTATAACATTGAATTTTTGATGATAATTTAATTTTATTGATATTTTTTCATGAAAAATTATTACAAAAAAAAATTTTTTTGTTAAGCAAGAAAAAGAGAGAGAAGGCACACATTATAATTGTATATATCAAATAAGCAAGACTATATTAAATGAATATAAAATGGTGTCAGATGTTACAGTGAAAATTAAATTAAATTTTATATGATACTCTTTTGCTTTTTGTTTTTTTTTTATGAGAACTCTTAAAAAAGAAATTAAACAAATGAAAACATTAAATTAGATTTAAAGAAGTCAATTAACTTCTAATTAAATATTAAAATTAAGTTGTTGTTACCACAGAGTAGATAGATTTATACAAGAAAGCCCTTGAAATAAAATGAAATTACTCGTGGCTATACGCAATCTCTGAGGCAAAATTTCATTTTATGACTTCTATTTCTTTTTTAATTATATTTTAACAATAACATTTCATTTCAATATAGAAAATTTAATTAAATAGAATATAACATCTTCAAATACTAAAAAGAGGCTGAGAATATCGAAATATTATTCTTCATCTTTGCATACATTTAGGCGTCAATCAAATTTTATAGCAACAAAATCATCAGGAAATATAACTTTGTAATTTTTTATAAGATCTCGCACAATTTTATTAATACAATTTTTTCAAGTGCTCCTATATATTGACTTGGATTTTAAAATTCTATAAAGTTTATCCCAATAGGAAAGTACTGAGAAAATCTCTTAACACTCAACTTTATCGATAGCATTACAGTATAAAAATCTATAACACACAAATCAAATATTTTTGGACATTCAAAGATTCGACACGTGTCAGAAACTAAGAAAAAGTTTTACATTTTCAATTTTCAAAATTTAAATTTATTGTTTTTTTTTTTGAAAGAAAATTTTCCTTATTAAAATATAAATTTTATAAAATTTTCCATTTAAAATAATTAATTTTCAACGAAAAATAATTTAAAAAGAAATTTTGATTAATGAAAATCAGTAAAATTTTAATAGAAAATGTTTTAGTTAGTCATCAAACTTTTAATTGTCTTTAGACGGATAGAAACTTTTAATGAATCTCATAAAAAGTAGAGTAAAGTATAAACAGAAAATGAAACAAGGGAAAATACCATTAAATCAAAATTAGAAAAAATGCATATTTTATAACAAATTTGTGATTTTAAATTTTTAAGTGAACACTGAACGAAAAAAAAAATATTAAAGAAAGAAAAAGGAAACCGTCATAGTGAGAATTTGTAAATTTTGAAGTATTTTTCGTTATTCATAAAAATCATAAGAATTTTGTAAGCACAAGTATTTAAAAGGGACAATATTAACACCCAAATATATGTGACTATCTGTTAGATTGTGTGATTAGGTTGGGTTCCCGCGGCCACCGTAAATCTATACTTAGGCTTAAGTTCCCAACATTCAAATTCTCCAAGTCTATAGCCTACTGGAAGAAGTGAGATCTAAGAAATCTAGGTCTTGGGATCGTGCCACTGATTATGAGCAGAGAGGGTGGGTTACAGTTTCCTTCTTGTCCTTGTCATAAAAACCCTTATAAAGAACGTTTGAGGCGAGATCCAGTAGCACTCTTAGATATTTGACCACCGTAGACACCGGACGCAAATTAAATTTCAATAGTCTAGTAGATTGTACAATAACCGCCTTCCCAGTACAAATGATAAAGCCCTCAGCTTCAGTCCTCCTAGACACCGGACGCAAATTAAATTTCAGTAGTCTAGTAAATGGTACAATAACCGCCTTACCAGTACTAATGCTAAAGCCCTCAGCTTCAGTCCTCCTAGACATCGGATGCAAATTAAATTTCAATAGTTTAGTCCTCAGCTTGAGTTCAGTTCACGCCCCCTACTTTCTGTTAATTACGACGTCATCATATTCGCGCTTCACAACAACGACTAAATTTTGTAAGATCTAAGAGCTTCCTGCGTATTGCATTTATAAAGATCGGTTTATTACAGTTATTAGCTACATCTAAATTATTTACTTAGAGAAAATCGAAAAAGCACTCACCTGCGGAGTTCGTATTTTATCTTCCAAAGACTATGTTCATGATAAGTCTATGATAAGTTTCTCGTTCTTTTGCTTACGGTATTCAATGAGTTTCTCTATGTTCTATGGTCGACATTGTTCTGCTTCTCGGAAGAAATTTAATAGATTTATTACGCCACATAGTGCCGCACGCTATTTCAGATTTATGCGAGAAAACTCTTTTCTAAATGTGTTGCTTTTTTTAAATGTAAGAAGTTAAGGCAGTTATAATTATTTTTTATTTTCATAACTATAGCTCGGGACTGCCGGCTCCATCCAAATTTGTTTAACCTCGCAGCATAATATAGACACGAACTTCTCTAAAAGTTTATAAATTTGTCCTTAAGATATCATATCATATTTTATATTTTTAATATAATCCCTTATTATTTAATAATTTTACAGAGTTTATGAACGTTTTAAAATGTTAAATCATGGTAGAAAAGTGAATTTTGTTGATACAATGTTTCAAATGCTCGAAAAATATTCAAATAATTTGGAGGAGCTTATACGAGAACGTACTGAACAATTGGATATTGAAAGAAAAAAGACTGAACAATTATTGAATAGAATGTTACCCAGGTAATAAATAAAATCTCCATTTTCCCTTACAAAATAACAATAACAGAATTTTCTTTTATATTTCTTGTTATTTTTCTTGTTTCATTGCATTTATTGCCGCCAACGTCATATTAAATGAATCAAATAATAAATGAAAAATTTTTATTTGCTTCCGTATCGAATGTGAAATATAAAAAAAAAAACGAAAATCTTTTGGGAAATACTCAATAAAAATCCTTGAATATCAACCGCACTTTTGTGTCAAATTATTGCCAACAATAAAAAACAAAAACACAAATAATTGTCGTATGCATTTATTTGTACAATAAAAGCTCTGTCGCTGAAAAACTTAAAATGGGTTTGGCTGTGGATCCTGAAGAATTTTCGGATGTAACAATATATTTTAGTGATATCGTTGGTTTTACAACGATTGCAGCACATTGTAGTCCTGTTCAAGTGGTGGATTTATTAAATGATCTATATACAATATTTGATGCTACAATAAATGCATACAATGTATATAAGGTAAGTACATATACTGTAAATATATAGGATGATTCAGTAATTTGTGATTTATCAAGTACTACCGTATTAGGTAACAAAAATTGGTAAAATTTTTATTTAAAACTAGATGTCAAATTTCATATATAAGTTCCCTACTAGTTTTCAAAAATTATTTGTTTGAAGTCTCTATATCTTTTTTCAAGTGAACTTGAAACAAATCCAAAAAAAAATTGGATAAGTATAGAAGGTTTTTGAAATTTTCTTAGTATCTCTGCATCTCTCCCAAGAAGTAGACAGTAAATCTCATCTATCACCTTCCTTTTCTCTAAGCGATGGTATATATCAAATAATTTATTATTCAAGCACCCTGTATCGTTGTTCTGATACATACTGTGTATAATATGGACACATACATACTAACATAGTAAATATTATTTTTTGTAACTTCATGTAATTACTTATAAAAATTATTTTATTTTTGAACGCAAGCTTGTGTATTTTTTCGGTTATCTTTGCCAAAATAATGACAATACATAATATACATACTATGTGTATGATAAAATATATGAAATTCGAAATTATTTCCGAAAAATTCAAAGAAAAACTTTTTTAAATTTGTACATTTTACAGTTGGTAAGATTTTATCCGCAATTTATATTATTTATTCAACTACTTGATAATGCACGCGACATATGTGTCACATTCAATAAATTTGCATAATAATTACAATAAACTCACTTAAATAATTGGCAGTACATTTAAAAATATTTTGTCCAAATAAATTTATAAATGAAATTATATAAATTTTTAATAAAAATAAAATAAATTGTATCTGTTACATAACACGAATTGTCATTGTTATTACAAAATATTTCGAATTCATCCGGATCCGGATTCTTATTAGTTTTCAAATGATAGAATAATGATATATAAATAGATAAAAAGAAAGCTGTCCAAACTATTCCAAAATCCCAAGACAAAACATAAGAAGAATTACTGAAAAAACAAAGAGAGAAGGCCTCTTAAGAGGCGAACTGTAGTGAAGGTATACTTTGATTTTGCTCATAACTAGTTGTTAGTCTTAAGAAAGGAGTGAAAATATTTGTTAATTTACATTAAGTAATTCCTTTCCGAAGCAAAATTTTGTTCAATTTTATATGATTCATGAATAACAATGAAATTTATATTATTCCCCTATAAATATGCAATGTTATTTTTTTTTAAATATTTGCAATATTATTGTACCTATTTAGCTATATATATATTGTAGCTATATTGTACACATTTTAAAAAAATCATAATCTTATAATTACAAGTGAATAATCGAAAACTATTTTTAAATTCAAAAAAAAAAAGGTTGAAACTATAGGTGATGCTTACATGGTTGTTAGCGGTTTACCAGTCAGAATACCAGATCACGCTGAACAAATTGCAACAATGGCCTTAGATCTATTACATCAAAGTGGTAGCTTTAAAGTAAAACATTTACCTGGCGTACCATTACAATTAAGAATTGGATTACATACTGGTCCATGTTGTGCTGGTGTAGTTGGATTAACAATGCCTCGTTATTGTTTATTTGGTGATACAGTAAATACAGCTTCAAGAATGGAATCTACAGGTGAATATTTTTTCTTTTTATTTTTGATTATTTTGGTATGAATTTATTCTGGAATGAATATTAGTTATAAAATATAAACCACTTAATTACCCATATAACAATAACTCGCAGTTCCTTAAGAAATTACTGAAAATTGGTCCGGTTTCTTATTAACTATTTTGGTTAAACACAATAAATTTGACTACCAGCCCATGACTAATGCAAAATAAATTTTAAAATAATTTTTTTAAGTTTTCTTTTTCTTCCAATTCAAGTTTAAAATTTAAGTTTAACCTTGACTTTTAACTGTAATAAAAAATTATAAAAAACAAGTAATTTTTTTTCTTCTCAAAACCTTACAAATGTATTTATATAATATGCTAGACCAGGTATTATAATATACTTAAAAAAACCGAAGCAATCTATACATTTTATCAACACGTACGAACCTCAGCAACAAGATTTTGAAAATTTTTTTATAAATTATTTTAAAAATTTATTAAGGGTCGCTTATCCTTAACCTGAAAATTCACTTTCACCATCGAATACAATATATCCTTTGAATATTATTATTAAGCAAATTGAGATTAAACCTCGTAAAACAGCATCTTTCCTTGAAAAGACTTAAAGCACTGTAAAAGAAATCATCATCAAAAACAATTAAGACGCCGGACAGCAAGTATCGGACAGTCACAGAATATATGCGCGGTGGTTTCATAACTGTCCCCAAAAAATCTGAACAGAAGGGAGCCTGATTTCCCCAGCCTATGCTGGTGATATTTTACTAATATTTTGCACAACCATAAGGCTTTTATAGCTCTCCCGATGGCCCCGTCTATATAGGCATTCCAGGAAAAGGAATCATCCAGGGTTACCTCCAGATATCTCACCGACTTAGAGTCACCAATACGTTCTTCAAACAGAATTTATTAATCAAACAGAATAAGAGGGCTCGTTAATTTATCCCTACTTCAAAGTCTGGTGAAGGCAACCGGAGCTTTTGCTCGGGTTTATATTTAACCCCTCGCATATGCACCACTCTTCCACGACACGTAGATTTTACTGTAGAAAATCAGCAGAAACCGTACTTCTCACATTTTTCCGATATGAAGGAGGCCACATGGTCGGTGTAACCGACCATGTCGTAGAGGGCAGTGATCAAATCATCCATCACAATGGACTACAGGAGGGGTGAAAGAATCCCGCCTTGTAGACACCATTGTTGCAGTGGAAATAAAGAGTAATTCGTCAGCTATAATGGATTTAATGACCCCATCTTGTAGCATCAGTTATTAAAAGCACATTCAATATTAAGGAAGCAGCAACTATTACCTATGGTACATACTGCGGCTCATGTTTACTGCTGTATATAAATAAAAGTAGGCGCTCACCCTTTTTATTTATATGCCAAGGCGGTATGGAGAGCATTAGCATTACTTCCTGTTGTCAATTGAAAGTTCCTCCTTCCATTGAAGTTCACTAGTTCCTTCAATTGTTCGTCTAGATGGACACAGTCACCAGGGATATAGAAATACCAGAGAAATATTGTTTCTTCCCCCTGATCTCCAACTTCTTTAGTTTTTCATCAGTTTCTTGAATCAGAGGTCCCATTGAATCGAAGTCACTGCATTTTCTTCTACCAGCATGAGAAGAGGTTCTTCTTTTGTGTCGGTAAAAATGAGCTCTGGTTGAGAAGACCCTTTTATCCTTGTTGTCGTTCTCTTGTTGCCATTGTTGTCCTTCCTTTTGTTGTTGCCATTGTTATTTTTGGGTTTTTGTTTAGCTTTTTTGGTTTTTTTTTCTGCGGGAAAGTGCCGTGACCCATGGCAGAGCCCGTTATACTATGGGAAGGCTAATTTAAACTGGAGGGTGCCTAGTTGGGTAAGCTTTGTTTTAGCCACGAAGTCCTAGATATATACTGTTCCACCTTGACTTGGGACACCTGCCATTACCTGACGTACACAGATATCAGGTTGGAACTCACAGAACAAGGGCACTATATGGCCACGACACGAATGTAACTTTATTCGTTTCAATCACCTTTTTATGTTCCGCCATTACTGGGATCCGGCACATGAAGTTCACAGTGCGATTTTGAGTCCCGCCAGAGTGAAATTAATAAACACATTTTTTCCAATATTATAGAAAATATGCTTAAACGGAAAATATATATATGTAAATGAAAATAATACCAGATACTAAAACTTTTTTTATCAAAAATATTTTAGAAAAATCAGTTTTAGTTTTTCTACATATGCCTTACATATACAATGCTAACATTTAAGATTAATAGTAGAGAAATCCTTAAATGATTCATAAAGGAAAATAGTTTTCCTTTCTTTATTTATTTTTATCACCTACCTTATATAGTACATACATCCATATACACATAAAAGAATAGCATCAGTCGATTTCAAATTCTCCAATAAACGAGGTTTTTATATAGTCAAAATTTTTGAACCCTTATGTTTTAGCACTCGTATTATTATTATATTCACAAAAGTTTTATATATACACAAGAAAGTTTTTTCATATAAATAAAAAATATTTTCAATTTTGTTTTTTGTTCCTTCAGGATCTTCATCACGTATTCATATGTCAGAAGCAACTCGTGATCGTCTAGAAAAAGCTGGTGGTTATAGTATTGAAGCAAGAGGTCCAATCGAAATCAAAGGTAAAGGACTAATGAATACATTTTGGTTATTAAGTAAAAAAGGATTTGATAAACCATTACCGGTACCACCACCTATTGGGTAAGTTTTATTTTAATTAAAATCTCATTAATTATTATATTAGTTATGTATATGTATGTATTTATATAATTTATATATTTATAATAATATTATGTATATAAAAACTAATGACTTTAATAATTAAGTAGAATTTCAAAAGTCAAACCACTTACAATTATTTTATAATTCTTTTCTTCCTCTTTGCTTCCATCCATAACGTGAATTTTATTTATACAGTGAATCTCATGGGTAAGTATATTGTTATCCATCTTCGGTTGCTCATTTTTTTTTGTATATTTTTTGTTTTATTTTAAAATTTATTGAATAATAACGAACAACGATAATTGATAGAGAAAAATATATTAAATGTCAGAATCAGATGGAAAATATTATAAAATAATAATCATGTCGTATTAAATTACTAAATAAAACCTTGTAATGAGTATACTATACAGATATATGGTGAAAAATATTCTTCTAATAATTAAAAAGAATATGAATGTTCTTATCGTGAAATTAAAAAGTATAGCACCCTCACTAGCCCCCTCCGTTTATAGTTTGACTCTAATATTTCTCTTTTATAATGAAAAACACAAGCATTTTTTTTTTGTATAAATGAAAATTTTGTTTTTTTAGACCACAACAATTAGAATCCCATTTGGAGGGGGATGATATTATTGAAGCATCATTAATAGGAATCGAAGAAACGTCATAGCAAATGCATTCGTACACCGCCGTGTAAGATGATATATCCTTATTTTCAATTAAATATAGATGGTTTTCTCTTATTGACTACAACATAATATGTTTTTCATTTTAATAATATTATTTTCACTACAACTCTTATATGTATATGTATATGTATATATAAAGATTTAAAACCGTATATATTCTCTTTTCTGAATTTCACTTTTTTTCAAAAGTTTAAAATTAATTATGTTATTCTTATTACTATATTTGTTTTTTTCTCTAAAAGTTTGCTTTCATCTTTTCCTTGTTGTTAATATCTAAAAAAAGCAAAAAAATATCTTTAAGGGTCCTTTTTATTAAAACTTTTAATAATTTTTCGTTTTTTCAAATTACTTAAGAAAAAATAATTAAAGAAAGTTTTTATTCTCTCTCAACAGTCTTGATGAATCACTTGTTAATAAGTGCATTACATTACAAAGTTCACCATTAACATCTAATATTACAACAACTGGAATATCACAAATGCCATCATCAATATCAAATGCTACAACAATACCAAATAATATTAATTTAAGTGGTCATGGACGTTTAACAAATGCCAATAGTACAAATCCATCATCAAGTCAATCATCATCATTAGCTGGTGAATCAGTTGAAGTTAAAGTTGAAATAACACCGCCAACAAATACAAATGAAACTCCTATAAATATAATGTTATCAAATTCATATTCATTAGATTCATCTACAACAATAAATTTAAGTCCAAATATTATATCGATAAATAGTGGTGTACCTGGTAGTGTTGGTAGTAGTGATGTATCATCAACAAAATCAATTAGCCCACAAACACGTAAATTATCAGAATTACAAACTGTTACAGAAAATCTTTTAATACCAGGTTCATTTAATCGTATGCCAGCATCAACATCCTCATCATCATCAAGAATATATAAACGTTTTGAAGAAATTATGGATTTAAGTTTACCATATAATAGTTATAAATGTTTAAGTCCATCCGAAAATAATTTATCACAATTTATGGACGGTAAATATATATATGGAGCACATCATGGTAATATAGGTGGTAGTAGTATTGGTGTTGCTGGTGTCGGTGGTAGTAGTAGCGGTGGTGGTACATCTGGTATGTGTGGTGGTATCGGCGGTGGAAGTATTAAACATTATGATAATAAACCAGGTTCAAGTCGCCTACTAAGACGTCAATTTAGTTTAGATAAAGATGATGCACCATCATCAAATCAATTACAGCAATTACATGCAGCTGCAGCATCAATACAACAAGCTTTAAATACATCAAATCAATCAGTATCACAAACAAATAATTATAATACATTAACAACTACTGGTGGACATAAACAAACCTTAGATATACCAATATTACAAGAGAATCGTTGGAGTCCAAAAGGACAATTGGGTAGATTACATAAACAAAATTCACAATCAATTAATCAAGATTTAGAAAAAATTGAAGAAATTCCAATGTCACCATCAAGTTCATCACAACAACATAGCGGCAGTATTGATAGTAATTTAAATCGCAGTCCAACAAATAGTTATACTAGTGAATTTATAAATAATGAACGTAAAAATAGTGAAAATAATGGAAATAATACTAGATCTCCAGGACATGATAATCTTCAAAAAAGACCTAATCAAGAAATTACATTGAATGTTGAAAATTTAGTGCATAGATAGGAAACAATTTAAAAAAAAAAAATCAAATTTAAAAAATGAACAGGTAATATAAAATTACGTGTACGGGAAGAAATTTTAAAGAAATTCTAAATATTTTAACAAAAAATTTTATTTCCTTACCTTCTTTAATTTACTATTGGTACAGGGGAGCAAAATCACCTACATTTTATGACTAAATAAAATTTGGTTTTTATCACTCCTGTACTATACCAGATTTTAACACTAACAAAAATACTAAAGTTATGTGACATTTTTCCAAATTTCTACTATCATTATTCTAAAATAACCTAACAGATGGCGTTAGTTGCCATTTTTAACATTATTTATTTATTTCTAACCACCACAACCCTCCTGTTACGTTAAAGTATTTTTGATTTAAAATAATAATAATTGTTAATTCAAAAGAGCAATACTGTTAATTTAACAGTAAAAAAGTTTATTGTACCGTTAATTTTTTCTGTAATTAAAAATTTATTTTTCATATTTAAATTCTTCCAAACCAGGGAAATTTTAATAAATTAGAATGTGTCAAAAAATATTTATTAAGCGGGACGATATGAAAAATGTCATTATTTACTGTATTCTATAATATACTCGTACTAAAACTATAAAAGAAACTATTTTAGAATTAAAAAATAAAATTAAAAACTATTTATTAAGTAGTAAAAAAAATGGTTAAATTTTTTTTAGAAAATTTTAACCAAAAATCGTCGGCATCTTAGTTTAAAAAAAAAAATGGGGAATAAAGAATGATTAAATTTTTAAAGTTTGACATTTATGGAAAAGCGGTATGTGCACGAAAGCTTTATTTTTAAGTCTCCGTCAAAACAAAACAAAATTAAAAAATATTTAAAACTAATTTAATTTTATTTTTTCGTTGTTACTAGCAAATAGAATAATTAATTATGAAAAAATTAGTTCATTTTTAAAATTTATTAAAATTTTAATGTTGCTGTGTATAAAATAAAATTATGTCTAAAATATATTTAACAAAATGTGAAAATATTTATGATTAAAAGTTACGAGAAAAAAAATAAAATACTTAAAAGTACTTACTCTTATTGTGAATAAATTGAAATTAAATTGAAAAAATTTTAGAAAACCAACAAAAAATGAAAATTATTAAATGTAAAAGAAATAAAAAATATTTGAGAAAAAAACTAAAAATAAAAAAAATTTTAAATAAATTCAAATAGCTTTATTAGACGTAATGAAAATTCTTTTTAAGAGGAAAAAAAATAGTTTTTTTTTTTATTTTAACAACAAAAATGAATTTTTTTTTTAACAAAATTTAAAATTAAAAAAATACATTGTAGCTAATTGTAAGTTAAAAATTATTAATTGTATTTTAGGTGTAAAATTTAAAATATGTTGTAAAATTTCTCAAATTATTTATTTATGAGCCTTAGAATACCCGGAAACCAATTTGTATCTCTATATAAAATAGAAATATTTTCATAATTTACAAAAAATATAAATATCGTGAATAATTTTTAAATATTTTTATTCCAATCACTTATTTTGCTATTGTGAACTTATTTATATTTTTTTTTTTAATGTATAGATGACAATTTATTTGATAGATTGCAAGTGAGTTATATATATAAGTAGTAGTAATGTGCGAATACTAGCTACTCGTTAATTCGAGGACATAAAAAAACTGGTTACTTGTGAGTCAAAAATATGTACTCGTTACTCAATACTCATTAATAATTTTTTCAATAGTAATTTCATGTTCTTAGCAATCTGACAGATTCGAATATAATTTTTTATTCGTGTCACTTTTGTTATTTGAGTATGTGTACGTAAAACCTGGTAAATAAACTAATCAGAATGTGACAATTTCGTATTAGAATGTGGTGTTGTTGTGCAAGTGCGATTATTAAGTGAGATATTTTTAATTTCATTAAAACTATAATTATAACTAAATTAATATTTCGTATTTATATATTAAATACTTATATACAATGGAGAAAACCATTAAAGTAACCAAAGAAGTAACAAGTATTCATGAATACCAGAAATTTGAACTTTTCAAGAAAATTATTATTCAAGTCCTTCTTATCAGAATCGCTCTTCCTAAAATTCAACTGTATTCTTGTTGAATTCCGGGTGTTCTGGAGTTAGTCACTTATTCAAGCTTCTTTATTTATATGTTTGAACCACATTCTTAATTTCAATTTGAATGCAATCAGCAATTGGCAAGAAGTATTTTAAAAAATTTTTCATAATTTTTACTTAGTTATTCATTTTTTTAAAATTATATTGAAACCGTTATAATATTATATAGATACATATTTAGTGGAACAACAAAAAAAAAAAAATTTTAGAAAATAGTAAAGAAATTAACAAAAAAATAAAGAAAATATAAAAGTTTATATAAGATTTTGTGTCAAAATCATTTCAACATTAAAATCAACTTAGATAAAATTAGATATTACATAGGTACTTATATAGAATTTTAGGACTAAAAATACATTAATATTATTTTATATATATATATATATGTATGTATAGTTAAGAGATTTTGTGTAAAAGAAAACAAGAGCCAAATAACATTAAAATTAATATTTAAAAAAACCATAATAGTTAAACCCATAGCCCAAAGATCACAATTGATTAATTTAATTTTCAAATACACAAAATTAAAAATTTTATTTATTTAATTTCCACTCTTAAACCAAATTTTTCAAAAAAAATTAACACTCACCTTAAATTTTTCATCAATAGCGAAATATTAAAAAATATTGCAAATATATTCGAATTTGTTATAATTCTTAATTTTACAGAAAAGAAACCTATCTCCAAAAAGTCAATAAGAGTTTTTAAAAAACAAATTATGTCAGAGTATGACAACCGTCTTTTATAAAGTATGTGTTCGAGTATAATAAAATTTGGTGGCCATCTTGTTCCCGTTTGATCTTTTCTGCAAATATAATCTTTTTCGAATTGTTTACAAAAGTATTTTTTTTTTAAACATTTGAAAATACCTAAATTCTGAAACCGTCATTAGTTTTTTTTTTGAGAAATTAAGAAAAACAAGTTGCAAACAATTACACGATTTCACAAAATTACAAAGAAAATTCGGGAAAGTTGTAATAAAAAAATAAGTTTTTTTATTACAACTTTCATCTGCCCAATATTAACTCTTAGAAATCAGTAATATTCAATTTCATAAAATTTTTTGTTCTTTTTCACTCCCAGGAGGAGCATAGAGCTAGTGCATGACATTATAGATAATTATGCCACAGTTTCATTGCTTCATAGAGTTTTTAACTAGGTAGCCTGCCGTAAATACTCATAATATAGTTACTTATTTAATAATTCCAAAAAACCAACCGAATAAAACAGAACCTAAAATGTTAAAACATAGGAAATAGCAATTAAATGTTATATTAAGAGTGTTATACTAAATTAAAAATATAAAAGACAACAAATTGTATTTAATTTTTATTGAAAAATGTTCTATTATTATTATTATTAAAAAGTTATATATCCACAAAACTATTATATTATAATTGTTACCTGAATCAAAAACATAAAGAATCGAATTATATAAACCATAAAATAAATACAATAAAAATAAATGAAGTATAATGATGGAAATATTGTGAGCACATACAAAGGAACAGATTGGGAATAAAGTCGCAGATAATATATTATAACTATAATTTCACAGAAATAATTAGAATACTGAACTTACCATTGATTACTTTTTTAAATACCTTGAATTTACATTCGCCAGGTTTGTAACTCGCAAAAAGAATGCGACCCAAGGAACCTCCGACTTCCATTGCTCGCTAATTGAGATTAGTTATTGAGATTAATTAAAGCCGATTATTACTCGTAATTGAGATTATTAAAGCCGACTATTGAGATTGGTACTCTATGAATATAAAAAAAATTTAAGATTCTGATTCTGAACTCCTGTTAAAATTATTTTATATTACCCAATATCAAAATTACAGCAATACGATTTTGATACAAAAATCAGTAATTAAAACTTATAGCGTTTAGTCAAGTAATAATAGAGTATAACAGTTATTGAAAGAAAATTAGTCAGATACGTTTAAATAATTTTAATTGAGCTAAAAACTTGTTAAAAGTTGAAAAATTTTTCTACATAGTTCCTTATTATCTGCGTCTTTTTTCACACAAAAAGTTTTACTTCACTTCACACATTTGACCGAAAAACCCAACATTTGACAACGCAAATAGGAAGCTTTTATAAACCATTATTAGAATCCTTATAAAATTTCATAATATTTTATAGAGGATTTACAAAATTTCGTTTTTAAAATTCATTTAATCCACGAATTTATTCGAATACAAAATAAAATACCCAAAATATTTATTCAAATTGTTATAATTACCATAATACTAATTATTTTAAAATAATTATTCCAACAAAATTAGTTAACCCAAAATATGTGTGAATGACATTTAATACTGTAACAAAAACTGTTATAACACATACTATTTTAATATAATATATATACGTATAACAATATTTTAGAAAATTGAAATGTTAAAAATTATATTTTACAGAGTTTAACAAAATATAAGTGTTATATAGAAAAACCAAAATGAAGAAATTCACTTAATCTTAATTATTATAATATTATATTAATTATTTTATTGTTATATTTTTAAAATTTATTTAAAAACAAAAAACAGATGAAAATTTTTAAATATTTGTATATATTGTATAATTATATTGAAATATTTTTTTATTATATTTGTAAATGTATAAACAAAAATGTGCATGTGCGTTTTATGTGATTGAATCATTAAACACAAAAATAGGTAATTGTAATTTCCAGGTCTTAGATTTATCTAAGAATAAAATTGCTAACAAATATGACCCTGTAAGTTATTAGAAATTTTGTTCAGTTTACGAACTATATTTTAAGTGATCGATCCCAAAGGTCCGGCTTTTTAAACAATATTTTTTTACAAATTTCAGACGGAATATTATTCTAATTACACGTTCAACATTATTTTCCAAAAAGAAATAATAATTTGACGACGTCAAATCGTACTATCTCAACAGCCAATTTACTCTATCAATTATGCCAATTTAATAGAGTCAATATGACATTGGCTACTAAATTGAATTATGTGCTAATAACAAAAGTACCGAAAATGAAACATGCTGCAATAAACAAAAAAATGGAAACTCTTATACTCTCACACTGACAGAATTTAAATAAAATCACATTGAACTTTACGTGTCACCCTAAAAATTTTCCTTGAAAATTTGAATAATGTATAGTTCAAATAATGTATTAACTGTAAGAAAACTGCTGCTGTGCTACTGTATATCCGCCGAGATTCAAATTAACTGTTCTACATTGATTCAATACAAATTTACCTAATATAAATTTATTAAATACACACATGTATATTTTTAATCTCAAAAAAATTTTAATAGAATAATTTATTTTTTTAAACCAATCATTTATAATTATTATATTTATATTTTTATAATTATTAACCAACCAGATCAAACCAAAGAAATTTATATTATAGAAAATTATTAATATATTTTAATGAAAAGAAAAAAAAACAAAAACAACAAACAGAATTATTATTAAAACAATAGGTGATTTATAAAATAAGAGAAAAGAAATAGCATTTAAAATTAAATAAAATAAAATTAAAAAAAAAATATTTTAAAATGTTTTATTTGGAGAATGAAATTTTTCCAAAAATTTTAAAATTATTAAGAAGATATTGGAAAATAATTAAAAACTAAATTAGCCGTAATTTCTATATAACAATGTAAAAGCTCGATTAATTTTCTGCACCCTATTCTAATTGTGTCCTTAAATTCATTATAATTAATTGTAATAAAACTAATATATAATTAAATTTCTGTTAAATATTTAAATACAGTGTAAAAACTCAACTGAAAATTCTTAAAAATTATACCGTATATTTGCTAAAGCACCGTTTTCAAGCTCCAATTATTACCATTTATTTACCAAAGGACAAAATATTTCACTGGATTTGGTAGGATTTTTGCACTTCATACTTGGTTGGTTAATGATTTACTAAAAAATCGAGGAAAATTACTATATTATCTATTGATTTTACTCCAAAACCTTGTGTTATTCACATATCACATTTAAAATCACTTCAGAATGAAATAAATTTCACTTTTTAATAAAAATTTTACTCATTGAAGGGAAAGAGCACATAATCGACCGTAATGTATATTGTCTAGTTTAGTGAAACTAATACAGAAGATTATGAAAATACATTTTAAACACTTTTTTACAATTTTAAGAACGCTAATAAACTCTTACTGAAAATATCTAGAAAAATGTAAATTTAACTCTCAGTAGTATTTCGTCTTGTGCCGACTGAATTCCCAAAAAATTCACCAGTCAGTTCCGATAATAACTAAAATTCAAATATTTTCGGTAAAAACCGACAGACCGACAAACCGAAATCTCTCTAAAAATAGTTTATTTACGTTTCCCTACAATGGAAAAGTGTGCTTCCATAAAAAACTCGAAATACAAATTTTGTTGCCATCACATGACCTCCCTTATTGCATGCAAAGCGGTCAATTAAACATTACTCTACAAAACAGTAAAATTTTCTAATCTCCCAATCGTATAATAATTTTACTATCATCGAATTTTTTTACTTATAATAATTATACTATAGGAATTCATATTCCTAGTACTAAGGTTGCATAACAAATAGATGATGCTTACAAAAAAACGAATTCCAAATCTGAAATTTACTAATGTACATTGCCTAATTTTAATACCTTCTTGCTAAATTATAAAATTACCAAAATTTCAATTTACTCTATATACAATGACGCACATACACACACAATACTAGGCTCCTTCCTACAAAATTAATTAAGATTTCGTACATAATTCACGTTTATTATTATCTTGAAAAAAAAAACCAAACTAATTTACATAACTTTGTTGTCCTTTAAAATATTTTCAACAACATTTTGAAATAAACCTTGTAATTTTAATTCATATTTTCTTAAATTTAAATTTCTTAAACCTAAAAGTAAATGACCAAATCTTGATAAATTTGATTTTTGCATAATATATCTAGCTAATGAAAATAATGTTTGATCGGCTAGACTCTCTAATTTTATATAATTTTCTGTATTTAATGCAAATTCTTTACGATATAATATTAAATTTTCTAAAAATGATAATTCAACTAAATCAGCTTTTAATTTTTTTGCTTCATCAATAATATCTTTTAAATTATTATCACCAGTTGATTGTAATACATCAGTAATATCTAATGACCAATGTGATGCTCTTAATATAAAAAATTCATTCCAGACATTTAATAGAATAATATTTTGTTGATTCAAATCTATTAATTTAAATTGTTCATTATTACGAGCTTGTTTAACACATGTTATCAAAATTTGTATAAGAATTTCATATTGAATAAATTCATTATTAAATGTTGTAGTTATTGGTTCTGTTAAAGCTGGTGTCGGTATAACAATTTGATTTTGATTTAAATGTATTATTGTTGAGGAATATGATAATTTTGTATTCTCATTCTTTGTTATATAAGTTTTATTTAATGAACAATCAATTTTATTCCTTTTCATTTTATTGGGTCCAATTTTCGATAAATTTTTATTATTCAATCTTTTTCGGTAGCATCTAGTTTTAGAATTTTGTTGATATGAAATATTTTGATTTTGACGGTCAATATTTTTATTTGTTTGAAATTTTATTCGTCTTGGACCACGTTCTTTTTGTACAGCTGCAATATTCATTTTAGCAATGAAACAACGTTGTAAACGACAATATGGGCACCAATTACGTCTTGCCTTATCAACAATACAATTTCCTCTTCCAGTAATACAAACATATGGTGTACCTTTACGTATACTACGTTTAAAGAAACAAGAACAGCCATCACAACAAATTGCACCATAATGTTTTCCGGAACTTTTATCACCACATACTTTACATGGTATGATAGTAAAATTTTCTATTATACTACCATTAAATTGTGTATAGCTTTCTACCATTCTAATAATTTTTTAATTGTAATATTTTATATATAAAAGAATACTGTTATATAATTTAATTTTAGAGGTGAGTACAATTAAGTAAGACTTTCTTCAATTAAAGTCGCGGCAATACTGAATAAAATTAAAGAAAATCACTTGGTTTTTATAAGTTTACGCTGTTGTTAATTGTGCTTTGTGCTATGAAATTTTCTTTATAATATAACTCCTTAAAATGTCCTTAAGATAACAATGCCGCGATTTATTATCAAAATTATTATTCAAATAAAATATGAAATCTATTAAAATGTCCTATAATTTGAAGTTACAACAAATCGGTGGTCGATTATTTGATTATAAATTGTAAATTGACATGATCATCAATAATGGTAAGTTAGAAAAATTAAATGTTTACATAAAATAAACCATTATAATTTACCAGTTCCAGTATTTTACCTTTACTAGATTATTTTAAATGATGAGAATGCAAATTTTCACTTTCCTCATAAGTTTTTATTCCACATTTTTTTTTTTCGCTTTTTGCATACAATTAATTGTGTTCATGTTTATGTAATCATTGTGTGTGTGTGTGTAGGTATATAAAAGAGTCATACTTACCTTTTTTTTTATTTATTAAAATTCTTTAAAAATGAAAATAATAAATGTTTGCTTTGTCACTTTTACTTGGTGATTGCTAAACCAAAAAAAAAATTTAAACAAAAACCATACACGTTTTTCCTCTTTTAATATCCTTATAGTATCCTTAATTGTTTAGCCAAAGTGGTATACATATATAGAGTTGTCGCCTGTCACTTGTCGTTGTCAATTTCAACAATAACGTTTTTTATTCTTAATTTTTTTTCTTCTCTTTATTTTATAACTTTTTATTCTTGCAAATGGTCAGTAATTTTTTTTTGTTACTGTTTATTCTTATTTATTTATCGTTACGATTTCTAAAAAATTCATGGTTTTTACTCTTCTTACAATTTTTATAATAAAAAGAACAAGAAATTTTAAAATTAATTATTGGTTTATAATGTAGAATAAAGAATATTGGGATATTACGTCGAGTTGTTGCGGCTGAAATGGGAGATAAGTTTTAATGAAACCCATACACTTCTTTTTAATTTCATTTCTAAATTTGACCGTCAAGATTCGAGCACAATATATGATTTTTGGATAAATTACTGTGATATACAAAAATTTCGAAGACAGTGCTATATTTATTTTTTTTTAGAAAGCAAAAATTATCTCCTTCTGTTGTCACTCTATAATCAAGTATTTTGTGAAAATTTGAGGTCCGGCATTGTAATTGTTGTATGAACTAGATTTAACTTAATGGCATATAGAATAGAATGATGATTGAAATAAAGAAAATAACATTACATTCCCGCCGAGTTCATAAAATGTCTTACAATATTTATTTCAGGTTGAAATCTATATTCGTGGTGGGTAAACGATATAGACGTTCCGAAGTCAAAATTAAAAGATTCATGTATGCTAAGGAATGTGCAGCTTAAAGGAAGGTAAGTCGTTAATATGCAAACTTTGGATACCATTCAACATCTAATTTTAATTAGTTTTTCGCATGATAATATACCGAGCTCTGCCAGAAATGAACCTTCCTTTCCCGTATCATTCCCGTGTGAACAAAAATTAATGACAACAAATAAATTTTTATGTATTGTAAATCTGAAATTTATTCATGTTCTAAATTCCACCGCAATCAGGGTTCGTGTAAATGTGTTTTTATAATTTGTCAGAATTGATTTTGCTTTCGAGTTCTTTTAGGTTCCATATTTTTTATAGGCAATCTGAATACCTACATTTTCATACATATATATAAAAGTTGACAAACAACTCTAATAAATTAGAATAAAATTATTTACTTATACGAGTAGCATTAGAGTTTCCATGAACAACTATTTTTTTTTTCTTAAAATAGCGAAAGAAAATATTAGAAAGGAGTGATTTCTAATAAATTTTTGTTTTGTCTATTTTGCTTTTAATCGGTAAATGTCCTGATGATATTTTAAAAATATATTTTTCATTTTTCTGTTTGTTTTTTTTTAATATGTGGTCACCAGCATTGACAACTTTATTATTTGTTTTTTGTTTTTTCACACTTTATTAAAAGTCCTTTTTCTTTTCTAATTTTTTTCTGTTCACGATGGATTTAATAAAACTGCTATAGTGTTGCTTACTGTTATATTCCGTTATTTATTCAATAAATTGTTGCGAGTATTGTTATCCTTTTAAATTAAATGGTGATAAATTATTTTGTAAACTAGTTGTAATTATTTATTGGAAAAAAAGGATTTGTAAATTGGTGTTGTATTTAAAGGGCGAAAAATTATTCAACGTTTAATTGAAAAGACAATGGTTTTTTTTTGTGATTTTAAGAATTGATTTAATTGTTTTGGTGCTTTATTTTTTATACTTACAATAATTTTGAAAGTCACCAAATTTTGTTTAAATACCATTTAAAATACAGTGATTCATTGATAATTATCTAAAGGGTAATTATCAAATAATATCGCATAACTCCCTTAAATAACTAACGTTTCAAATATTAAGCAATTAAAATTGAATAATAAGAAATTTTTGCCTTAAAAGTATTAGATATAAGAAAGGAAGATACCTAGACTTCATATTGTCACATTTGCAAATTTAAAAGCAGCAGAAAAAAATCCTTGTTTCAATTGTATTAAACAGGTAACTTATGCATTTATGATTTCAAATTAGGATGAAATGGTTATGCTGAAAGATTATGCTATCACACAGAACATATATGACTGCCTGCACGCAGTGAATTTAAAAGGGAGTTCGATCAGTAAAGAAATCGGCAATTGAACGAACCCGATTTCGGCCCATTCCAAGCAGCTTTGAGGAGAACTTCTTTGGGCAAGATGGAAAGAACAAATTCGCATAATCACATCCCTCTGAAACCCCCCAGGGAAGATTTGATTTCTTCTAAAGCAGGATGTGAAGTCTGCCCTTAATGACAGACATTGACAGTCCACAGAGAAGGACGGGTCGAATGAAATGGACCTCAGATACCCTCCGCGCCTATACGTCAGCGATCTCGTTACCCTCGTACCCGCTTTGCCCTGGGCGTTACTCTGCTTGTTGATACCAACGCTAGAAGCACGAGCACACTTCTCCAAACACGCTTGAATGTGATCTGCATCGATTGGAGCGCCAAAAATGCATAGATGTCGCGATTTTATACGTGTGTCTGATCGCACTCCGTACACGTTCGAGCCCACCTCTGAGTCCGTTTTGTATCCATCAGTGTACCAAACACTAGAACCAATCTCAAAAACTTGACTACACGACTTCGTATCCCCGATCGAAGTTATACCGCAAGAGACAGACGTCTGAGATGGCTATATTTTTTCCCTGCGACATGATTTAATACACATGGGAACCTGTTTGTTACTATCATATCATTTAAGTTTTGATTTTTTACATAAATTGATTTTCCACTTTTAAATTATAGTTTCTACTATAATGAACCCGAAAATTTTTCACACTGAGTCATTAAAATATAAAAACCAATATCATTAATTATTATTTCACTTTGAAATTTTCCAAAATCTTATAAAATCTACCCTTCTTAATTGAACAATTTAAAATATTTCAAAAAATTTTAATAATATTTGAATTTGGTTTTGTACATGCAAAGCTTCTTATAAACAAATATTCATGCTTACGTATAGATGGTTAATACCTTACAATATTTAAATTTTTAGGTAGCAATGTGTGTGTTTTTCTTTATTTTTAATTCTTTAATTTACTTTTAACTTTAAATTGTAAATAGAACTTGTAAGCCTGTTTTGAATTTATTTTCTTTGATTCTGTATTTAAGTATAGAAAATTGTATTAAATGATTTAAATTTGGTTTAAGAACTTACATATACATATATATAAAACTATTTTCTAAACGAATCTTTTATACATATATTTACAGAGAAACACATTTATACGTACATATACATATTTACATGGTGATTCAGTAATGAGTACAAATATGCCATCTTTTCGAGAGTAAAAAATTAAGATTCCGAGATACAAGGACTTTAAGAAAATTTTTTGGTCCTTTTGGAAGTGAAAGCTACAAACGAAAGAAAATTTAGTCATATACCTTACCTTAAAGACCTCGATAAGGTTTTTTAAAAACAACTCTTCCTGAAGCTCATATCTATCGTAGACCGCATCCTATTCTAAACAAGAATAGGGTTTTGACACTAACTTCTGAGCAATCCTCTATTCACCCTGTACACGAAAATGTTTAACAAAAATATTATTTTTGTGTTAAATTCTCTCTCCTTTCTTGTCCCTTTTCTTCCCTTGTATCCTTTTTTAAAAATCATTTCTGATATTTTATTTTATTATTCTTATATTTTGTTGTTTTGCCAAAAATTAACTTTAAAGGATTATTCACCTTACAATTATTAAAAATTAATGTAATAAAATTTTTTGTTTTTTTTTTTTTTTTTTATGATTGTTACAACTATGGTCTTTCAGTTTTCATTTCAAACTAAATTTTGTTACATAAAATTTTATGTGAAAAACCTACAATACAATCATATACACATTTATACTAGTAAATAGGTATAAATAAATAAATATTTTAAAACTAACCACAAAGGAAAAGGATCTTGTATATGTAAAAAAAAAACAGAAAATAAAAATTAATCTCACAGAACAATCTTAAATTCCAGGTGAGAAACAAACAATTTAAGAGAATTTAAAAGAGTAAAAGAACACTGTATATAAGAAACTATATTAGCAATATTAGTAAAAAACCCTGTATATGACACTGAAAATTATTCAGTCACTGTAGAAATGGTCACCCATTAATTGAGTAATATTGTTCTCTGTGAATAAGTTTTTGTTCGTGAATAACATGTTGGCAAATTTACCCCTAAATATTTTGATCGTATCTTATCCTGGAGCTAATCCTTCTGAGTCTTAGAGAGTCCTTCCCAGAAAATAAATGTCCACCACGCCAGAGTAGCTTCGGCTGTTCTGGCAAGGATGTTCACTAAGAAACGTCTGGCCATAGCCATGATACAGGAGCCCTGAGTATTCAAGGGGCAGATCAAAGGACTGTTAATTAGAGATGCACAGGTAGTATGGGATTATGGGCAGGACCGACCCAGGACCTGCATTCTAATTAGGGACCTCATACCTGTCAGGGCCCTCATTAATGTTGGGGGCAAGGACTTGGAGATAGAGCTCGCATCAGCGTACTTTCCGGGGGATGGAGCATCCCCTCCGCCACCGGAGGTACAGAGGCTTGTGGAGCAGTGCAATAGGAAAAGGTGGCCACTCATCATGGGCTGTGATTCGAATGTGCATCACATTGCATGGGGAAGCAGCGACACCAACACTAGAGGTGAGTCTTTATTAGAATTTGTAGTTAAAGAAAACCTAGAAATATTTAATGTAGGGAATGCCCCAACTTTTGTGCAGGACACGACGTCCTGAGGATTGGCAGATTATCGATGCATCGGGGCGACATGGTAAGGAGGTACAACTTCGAGAAAAATTTTGCCTCGTTGCTGAGTAACAGAAGGGACTGGGAGCGTGACTTTTCTGGTCGCCCAGTGGGAACACACGTTATTAGATGGTACGCAGATGAGTCAACGACCAATATTGGGACGGGTGCGGGAGTATCTGTGCCAAGAACCAAATTCTCCGAACCTATGGGAACTTTTCCGAGTGTGTTTCGGGCTGAGTTGCACGCCATTGAAATGTGCATGCGGTTCAGCCTGGAAAGGGGGTATCGGGGACAGGAGATAATTATTATGTCGGATAGTCGGGCTGCGATCGGAGTGCCGAACTCGTTTTCAGTATCCTCCGCGACAGTATGGGACATACTATTCGTTGGAATTAAGGAAGGAATCAGAAAGAAGGCGGTCGGAGCGCTGGAGAAATCTTCCGGGGCTGCGGCAAGCCAAGGGGCTTCTGGGAGATTACGACCAGAAGCGATTTAAGAAAATTATAGGGATAGGCAAGAACCAGATGAAAGTCCTCACCAGCATTTTGACGGGTCTCTGCAGGCTTTGGGGACACCTCAGTCGGCTGGGCCTGGAAAATGAGGATACTTGCAGATTCTGTGGGGAGTATGGAGAAATCTCGGTGTACCTCCTGGGGGAGTGTGATTCTCTTGCTCGTGGGAGGGAGGAGGTTCTGGGGGACTTTGCTCTAACGGTGGCGGAGTTACGTTCTTCTGGTCCCCACAATTTGCTTGAGTTTATCAGGAGAGTGGGTCTCCAGCGTGTGTTGCAGGTCATGCCCCGCATCCCCTTGTACAAATCTACTATTCTACAAATAAGTTTGATGTTCAACCGTAAAAAAAAATGACAGGACATACCATAAGAATTGCAATGCAATTTCGTTTAATTTTTCTTAATAACTGGAACCATACTAATATAAAACATGTATGTAGAACCAAATAACAAATTCAGAAAAAATTTAATTTTATTGAAATTATTCAATACCAATAACGCAAAAAATTCAAAAACGTATGGTAACCCTAACAAATCCTGTTTCACTACTTTAATAAAATTTACTGATTTCCAAAAAGAACGTGTATATAATATATTTCGTGTACCTCAGAATTTGAGCCTAAAATCACTTTAATTTTTATACAAAATGAAAAGAAACTTCACATTCCTTTTCGTACCTTTAATAAAAATAAAAATCCAAAAAAAAAAAAAACAAAAACAAAAATAAGTGAAATTTGTGACCATAAAACGATTTTAATAAACTTTATAAAAATGCCCCCAAGACTCCTATATTTCGAATGCCCTATTTGTTCTATGAACTTTTCATTTTATGATTTTTCCTTAACATTTTTTTTTGTGGCGAAAACAAAAATTTTTTGAGTAACTTCATACTAATGATGATGATTACAGTTATACTCTTACATAATTTATATATGTATGTAAATGTGTGTATATATATATATATATATATATATATAGAGTAAAGAGAGAAAAAGCAGTAAGAGTTTAATTATGAGATATTTGATATGAGAATGATTTTTGCCTCTGAAGGATTTCTAAGGGGTCTACCTTTTTTTCTTTCTCTCTCTCTTTCTCTCTCTATATTATTTAAGCCGGAAGACCTTTTTTATAATTTTAATTTTAATATTTTTTTTTTTTGGTTTTTTTTTTACTTTGGTTTTTTTTTAACTTTTTTGTCTAAACAGGAAGACCATTTTATGGTAAAATGTCGTCATAAAAATTTTTTTTTTTTTTTTAAATAAGAACAAAAAATAGAAATATGGAAAAAATAAAATAACAAACTTAATGAAAAAATTAAAATGAGTAAAAATGGACAAGGCTTTAAAGAAAATGCCTAAAAAAAATTTAACAAAACCCAAATACTGAGAAATATTATCGTTGGTGTGGAAAAGCGAGGCATCTTAGATCAAAAAAAATGTGGCAAATAATGATGTGGTTGATTATAATACCCATTAAGTAAAAAAAAAACAAAAATAGAAAGCGACAAGGAATAAGAAATCTTAAGCTAAGAATATCGTATTTTTTGAAAATTCATTAAATTTTAAAGCTTCTCCGTTCTGACTAGAAGAAGTGATTTTAATGGGTTCATACAATTCTTTAAGGTTGGTAGATATGTGATTTGTATAAGCACACAAAAATGTTCAACAGATCTCTGTAAGAATGTTCAATAAAGCAAGGAAATCACTGTACTAGAATCTTATTTTATTACCATAACAAAAAATTAAAATAAAAAGCATAGTTATTTGAAAAACTTATGTGCAAGTATAAGACATCATTGATCTTTAGTGTTGCTGTTCATTACACGTAATTCGTTACTGCAATTGTGACAACAGCTGTCATTATCAAATCGACTTAGTATAATTTACCATTTCATTATGGATAAAAAATTCTTTTAAGTTATTGAATTATCAAAATTCATAAATTAATGAAAATGTTGAGAGCAATTAATCTCACGTTTTTCCCTTTTTATTGACTTATTCATTTTGTAAGTGACCCGTTTTCGAATATAATTGGGGATATTCCGATCAAAAACTATTAAAAGGAATGCGTAAAAAAATTAAACTCATAGAAACGTTAAATCTACACATAAATACGATGGGACACTAACATGAAACAATACAAAAATTGTTATAAATTTCTGTAAATTTACAAAATTTCAATATTTTTCTTTGAATTTAAAAACCGAACACCTAACAAATCACCAATTACCTAGTACTAGTACACAAAAAAAATATGGCTAATGATTCTCGGATAAGTTTAATGAAAAATTTTTTAATATTGAATGAAAAAGTATGCGTTTCTCTTTTATCTTTAATTAATAACGTACCTATTATTTAATAATTATTGAATATATTTCAATTTTTTATTTAATTTTTGTTGCTCATTTTTTGTTGTTAATTTTTGCTTTCTTTCCTCATAAAATTTAAGATTCTGTTCACGATTTTTTTTTTATTTTAATTTTTGGCATGTAATTAGTACATTAATTTTAGAAATTTATTCACAAAAAAAAAAGAGTTTTATATTAGGAAAAATGCGTTATTATGAAGAAGGGGTTGTGTTTAATGTTACTCTTTATTATAAGGAATTTCGAAGCAAGATATGTCCGAAGAAAAATATCTATTAAACCTTAAATAAATCTTGGGCTTTATAATGCAATCGGCTTGTAATTTTCATTTTTTAATAAATTTTAAAATAAAACGCGTTCAAAACCGTTTTCCCTTATTTCCGCGACCTTATTTCACATTTTCCAATGTTAGTTCTATTTTTAATATGATTTGATTCTCACAAAAATTAGAACATTTAATTCTAATAATAATTAGTAGGGCAGTTCCGGGACATATTTTTCAAGTTCCAGTATCGTATTCTAAAACAACAAAACGAAAATTTTACCTTGAAATTATTTTTTTCTTTATATAATACTATGTTGAAATTATTTAAAACTTTCTAATAATATAATTAGAATAATAATTAATAATACAATAAAACATAAATATTTACATTAATAATACAAAATGTTGATAAAAATATAGGAAAAAAAAAATAATATAGTTCGAAATTACAAGTCGAGTTTCGAAATTCTATATACAATTTCGAAAAATTAATATTTTAATTTTAAAACTTAATAATTAAGTTTCGATCTTTTTTTCTTTACATAATATTTTAAATTTTTACTTTAAATACTTTTTAGAGTTTATTATTAATTTAATTATTTTTATTTTTGAAAACCGTTATTATGTTTACAACTGTTTACAATGTAAACTTTACATAACAGATTAAGATTATATAATTCTAATTTTAAATATTACACTAAATATCTTAGCATATTATTTTACAAATATGCTTTTACATCTCAAATATTCTTAAGAATCTACACAAAAACTGAATAATATACTTGTAAATTGAGACCATATATATAATAATATATCTATCTCTTTTCTTTATCTTAATTTCCCTTAATATTATTAGCTATCTACTCTCTATCTCTCTTTGCATATTATCATTCCATACTGTATTGGAAATTATAAAAATAGAAATTATGATGATGCCATTAATTTAGCTGCTTGTATAACATTATGTTGATGATGATAACCAGCTAAATCTGTTGCACCATGAACACCAGTTCCGGCAGCAGCTGTTGCAGCACTTAAAGCACCAAATGAACTACCAAAATAACAATTATTAACGTAATCATAACTTGATGTATTAACTGGTGATTCAGTTTTAATTGCACCGGAATATGAATTATGGCCTAAACTGTGATGATGATGATGATGATGTACAGCTGCTGCTGCAGCTGCATGATGTGTTAAATGATGATGATGATGATGTGGTGAATGATGATGATGATAATTTGTACTTCCTGCTGCAGCAGACACTGATGAATTTGAACTACCAGAACTTAAACTATTACTAAGACCAACTGATGCAGCGGCAACCGATGAATTTAATAATTGTTCAGCATATTTCGTTGAATTTGATAATGCTGATAAACTATTTGTATATACTGATGAATTACCATTATTACCACCACCACCACCTCCATTTCCACCCGCACCTGATGATCCATTCATCATTAAAGGAGACGATGTATGTATATGCGATGAATAAAGATTGTTATTGTTACTGTTGTTGTTGTTATTATTATTGTTGTTATTATTATTATTATTTAACGAACCGGTTTGTGTTCTTGATTGTGACATTGATGGTGAGTTTAAATGATGGTTTGTGACACTGCTACCGCTAATAAGTGATGATGGTGTGTGTTTAGGACTAGGTGTGGTGAGTTTTGTTGAAGCCGATAAACTTCTTTCTATTGATAAGGACAGTGATGATGGTTTTATATCTAAAATAAAAAATAAAACAAAATAAGCAAAATAAATTATATTTGAGTTGTAACCAAAATGAACATTTCAATAGGAAAAAGCTGTAATCTTACCATCGAGATCCTTGTCTTTTGAATCACTTGACGATTTTTTCGGTTTTCTTTTCCTCGTTTGAATTCCATCTTTTCGCATTGCTAATGGTCTGTTTACGCCATGTAGTTTAAAATAAAGACCGCAGGCATTGCACACAGGATCACCTTCATTATTTCGTCTCCATAATGTTGTTGTACGTGTTCCGCAATTAGTACAACATAAACCAAGTCGACGAGTAGCAGTCTAAAATAATAAAATTCACAAAATCAGTATTTTTTATATTCAGAAGTGAATTTTTCATTTCTAACGAAAATAAAGAACATACCAATCTTTTGCTGGGTTTTATTAAAGGTCTATTCATTCCATTCATTTTATGATATAAACCACATGCATTGCACAAATAATGACCAGTACCATCTCGTCGCCATAATGGAGTACTGATTGCACCACAATTTACACATTCTCGTCCTTCACCAAATTGAAAATCCATCGGATCACCATATGGTGTTGTCCTTTGAAATCCTGTATCATAAGCTCTCCAGGCTGAACCCATCATAACTGCATTTTGTGCATAAAATTGTGCAGCAGCACCAGGTATTTGAGCTGCAGCTGCTGCAGCACCAAATGTATCTGCAGCTGTCCAAGCATTTGAAACACCTGTTGCACCAGCCGTTGAGCCAAAATGTCCAGTATGACCATATTGTGTATGTGTTAAAGCTCGATTTGATGGAACATAGACAGGAGCACTTGCTGCTGCTGCTACAGCTGCCTGTTGATGATAACTTGATACAGATGCATTTCCACCTCCAGCTCCTGTTATCTCAGAATATGGAGAACCAGAATGAAACATCATTGGTTCTCTTGTTATGAACGGAATTTTGGAAATATTAAATTTTACAATTTTGGGAAATTATGATTTTATTTTATTTTGTTTTTTTTTGTTTTACAGTTGAGTTCTTTTCCAGATCTGAAAATAGTTGAATTATTTGATGTTGTTTTATAGTTGAGTTCTTCCCAGATCTGAAAATAGAAAATTTAGTTTATTAGTATTTTATAAACAAATAGAATTCAATATTTATTAAAAATTTTAAAATTCTCTAATAATTTAAAAAATGTTAAAATATTTTTTATATTAGAATATAAAAATTGTGACGATTTCTAATTTTAACCGAAAATGTAAGATTTTTCCAACCTTCTTAATTCATCCTTAAAAAATTCCAATTAATATTAAAAAGTAAATTTTGTTAGACTCTCTGCTATCAATTTCTTACAAAACCAAATATAATCTAGAGCAGGAAGAACAAGCAACAGGGCTCTTTATTACGATATTCAACAATATTAGTATTGCCGTCGGAAAAATAGAAATTAAGAAAATAGTTTATGTAATATAGTGCCTATCACTACCGAAAATCAAATTTCATAAAATAGCTTTTATGTTGAGATGAAAGCTAAATGAAATTTGTACTGTACAAAAAAAAAAAGATTTGGAATTTTCCATTTTATTTATTATTTCTTTCGTTCATTCAAATTTGATTCCGGAACTTCAATTTTATGAAAATGAAACAAGAAAACAAAAACTCTTTGATTTGATCAACTTATAACATCAAACAAATTCTATTGATATTCTATAATAAATGGCTATCTAAGTATAAGTTAATTGCAAATTTGCAAAGATTAGCTAATAATAATATTTTTATAGCATTTTTATATCTTTTTTCATAGTCTATAAATTAGAATTTAATAAAAATTTCCATATAGATTTCATTTTTTCTTTTCTTTTTTTTGAATTTTTATGGATTTTTAATAATAAGCGATTTTCAGTTTTACTACCCATCTACTTAACTAACAGTATATTTAATTTTAGATAATATTGTATTGTATATTATATACATAATATATATATATATATATATATATATATATATATATATATATATATATATGTATTTTCACACACTTATACCAAAATGTAATAAAATACTTGTAATTGTATGTATATAAATATTTTATACACATAACATATTTAATAAATTCATGTTTCGTTAATTAGCATTATTATCGTATATTATTATCGTATATTGTTATCGTTTTACATATATGAGTATACTGCACATTATATTGAATATATATCAAGAAAAGTGTTAGATCTAAAGTATGTATTTTGCACTATTTTACAGTATTTATTATGATTAGTTAATTATTTAATTATAGAATTTAAGTGAATCATTTTATACTAAAAATAATTAAATAGTATGCGCGTAATTAGACACAGTAATCGAGTTAATTTATTAAGCATAATATAAAATGAATATTGCAATGTAATTTTGAAATTTTAGAATAATTATTGTAGAGTTTATTAGTTCTTGCTGCTGTTTCTACTATTATTCTCATATAAGTAAGTTGCCTACAAAGCAAAGAAATTTTATGCTATTTTAAAACAATATTTGAATCAGAAACTTAAACAAACAGTTAAAGAAAATTGTATTTATTATAAATATCGCCTTTGTAGCGTGAAATTATGAAAATATGAAATAGATATTTATAAAAAATTGAAATTTAAACTTAGTACTTATACTAAGTGGCTTTTTATTAAATTCAAAGTCCTTTTGTATATTCCCAATTTAGTTAAGCAAACCAAATCTGCTTTTAACAATTTTCTCATATAACTTATGATCCAGTATTTTCTTTAAGTAAAAAATGTTAGCAATTAGCATATACATAAAATAAAAAAATAAAGAGAGTGTTATTTTTTTCTCATGTTTGGCACATTTCTCATGTTGACGTAAATATTAATATATACAATCAAGAGAACAATTAGATGTGGAGTTAGAAGGATTTATTAAAATCATACAAAAAACTGCATGGAACAATAAAAAAATGTCAAAATACAAACCGACAGCAAATAGCTATCGTGGAGAAATAACTGATTTAGTAGGTGAAAAGAGAAGGGCCAAACGTAGATGGCAACGTTCGCGTAACCCTGGTGATAAAACTGTTTTAAACAGACAGGCAACATACAAAAATTATATAAAGAACTTGTCAGCTACGCTCCGCCACTGATGAAAGCAAATGGCAGTTGGGCCGAGGAGCAATGTAGAGAAGGCCAAATTGTTTGCTGATCACTTGAAAGCATATTCACTTACTCACTCCATAGCTCCACTTATTCAAATTGCGGAAGACATAAGATCCCTGAAGTTGAAAAAATCGCCAGGTTTTGATCTTATTACTGCGGAAATACTGAGAGCGCTACCAGACGAGGCATTGGAACATCTGACGAAAATCATGAATGCAGCTATGGATTTTGAGTATGTTCTTTCTGCTTGGAAAGTTGCGGAGGTAATAATGGTGCCCAAATCCGGGAAGGAAACAAAGTCTTACAGGCCCATTTCACTGTTACCAATGATGTCTAAGCTTTTTGAAAAGCTGCTATTAAGGAGATTGAAGCCAATAATAGAAAATAGGGTCCTAATACCGAACCATCAATTTGGTTTTAAAAGAAACCATTCTAAAATAGACCAGGTCCATATAATAACGAATATTATAGAAAAAAGCTTGGAATATAAAGAAATCTGCTCTTCTATGTTTCTAGACGTAGCACAGGCATTCGACAAGGTATGGCACAAAGGCCTTACTCTTAAGTTAGGGCAAATGTTACCATCTTTATTTGTAGAAATTTTGAAATCTTACTTAGTTGATAGATTATTTAGAATTAAACAAGATGCTGAATACTCCACGCTAAGAGAAATAAAGGCGGGTGTGCCTCAAGGCAGTATATTAGGTTGTACCGGCTTTACACGAGTGATTTGCCATAAATAGAAAATGCTACGATAGCCATTGACGATACTGCAATATTGGCAGTAGGAGCGAACATTGACGATTCGAAAAAAAAAATTACAGGAGGCAAATAACAAAATAAGCCATTGGAATAGAAAATGTAAAATGAAGTTGAATGAAGCAAAATCGGTTCACATGAACTTCACCAATCGGAAAATAGTGAACCCACCACAAATTCACGTAAATGGAACGAACGTAGCGATCCATAACTCAGCAAAATACCTAGGAATGACTTTAGCTATCAAGCTAAGGTGAAATGAGCATAAAAAGAAGAAACACATAGAATTAGAAAATAAATAAATAAGAAAATTATTGGCTCCTAGGTTGTAAATCCAATTTGGCAATTGATAATAAGATATTAATTTATAACCAAATCATTAAATCAATATGGCGATATGGCATTCAACTGTGGGGTTGTGCCAAGAAGACTCACATTAACAAAATTCAAACCTTCCAGAATAAAGTTCTTCGTATATACGTAACACGGGAACTTAGGAATTCCTTTGGTTGTGGATGAAATTGAGAGTTGTGCTACAAAGCTCGGCTGCTAGACAACGGCGTTATGACAGAAAGACTTAAAGGAACAAGACCATTCGATTTTACACGAAATACCAATTTCCTTATGGAAGGTATTTAATTCATGCACGGAAAAACCAAATTAGCGCCGAGATAACAGTTGGTCTGTAGGACAAGTTTTATCCGTTCAGAGTTTAGGTAATTTTTTAGGGTAGGAGTAGGTTTAGATTACAACTCTAAAATTCACATTTTCTTATAGATTTTCGTGTTATCTAATTAAATGAAATTTTTTGACAGAACTCATTCACTCAATGTTCTGGTACATTTCTATTTGATAAGATAATATGAATAACTTTTATTCAGGAATAGCATAATAAACTGTGAGCTTATGCAATTTCATCCAAACTGCAATTTTTGATATATCTTCATTAGCGTAATCAACATACCCTTGACATATACATACATATACAATAGTAGGCAAAGATAAACAGCATAATGGCTCAATGTGAACTTTCTCTATAAATGATAATTTAAATGTAATCGAGTAATAAAAGTTACTTGAACTCGAACAAATGAAAACTCGCGCTCAAGGAAAACCTACTCAAACTAAAAAAGTTCTAAAACAGGACGAAACCTCCTTAGTTTTAACAGATTTCAGGGCGGTTAAACCCACGATCACACAACATGCAAAATGAAGCCGTACAATATAACTTAATAATTTTCGACTTTCTTATTACTAACACGAAAAAATGTTAATTAAGTAAGCAGCGACAACATCTTCTACATTGTTAAAATTAAATTATCATAGTTAGTTTTTTATAAAATTAACTTAAATAACTTGTAAAATAACTGCACTACTCTAAAATTATATTGTACTTAATTAATTTATTTTCATATAATTTATAATTTTTATTAGAGTTTCATGTTGCACGAAACTCCCTCGCTTATATTCATAATTTACTTGCTTTTCTTCTATTTCTTTTTCTTTCATTTTTGTATTATCAACAAACTATGGAGCAAATTAGAACATGAATGTAAATTTGTATATAAAAAAAATTTTAATTAACTTTATTCTAATTTATAAATAAATTTTTTAAGATTTTCTTTTATTTTTAATGTCTTCTTTTAATATACCAGTATTTATGAATATAAATTATTACAATGCATTTTTAATATTTCATTATGGTTGATTTTTATAGTAATTCATAATTTAATCACAGTTTTTTCTGTAATAATTTTAATTTCAATAATAATTTTCTGAAATTACAATTTAATCATATTATGTGAAATTTTTCTATTAATTTTAGTTGAAACGACATTAAATACTCTTTAATATTTTGGTAAAAAATTAAATTTCTGATAAAAAAAATTATAATTTTTTTTCATTTATGAGTTTAGTGTGATAAAGAGCAAGTAATTGCAGATTTACTTTCGATTTTAATAACAAAATAAATTTGAAATTTGTCATAAAACTGAAAAAAAATGCTTTAGTTTTAAATTGTATGACTCTTTAACATGACATTTACCATTGTTCTACAGATTGTATAGCGCACATTAAAAATTTTTATTATTTAAAAAATTTTGAAGAAAATTTCTTTTCTTTGTTTTGATTTTAAGTACCTACTTGTAATTTGAATGCATAATCAACCCAACCCTATCGTAAATTCCAC